GTTCACCACTAGTTGTAGAGGAGAAAGTAGGTGAGAGAGTAATAACTACTATTTTTAAAGAGGAGAGAGAGAGCGCGTGGAGTTTGTATCTCACGCGCGGGCTTGGTCGATACACATGATTTTATGAAGGGCAATGAAATCAGAATCAGAGGGGGTAATAAGTATTAAAGAGAGGGAAGATCCGAAGGAGAAAAGAAAATCTTATGGATCTTCGAGAGAATCTTTGGCTTTTAGCTCTTTTCTTGAAGTATTCTTCTTTCTCTATATCTCTCTCTAGAGTCTCGAGAACGAAAGACCTATAAAAAAGAGAGAGAGAGATTCGATACGCTCTGCAGAAACACCATTTCTATAAAAAGAAGTACCCATTCTCCCTATATAACTAGTTCACATTCCATGTTTTGTGTCTTGTCTCCTCCATCCCCATGTTCTTGTTTATAAAATTAAATAACCCTCTTTTCATTATTACAGATTAAACAAACAAATAATTTATAAGCTTTGTGAAATGTAACTTTTTTAAAGAGGGTAGATCGTGGACCTAAGACGGATTAATCTATGAAATACGTAAAAATCCATGTACCTATGTTTTATATTTAAAAGCGTCTACAACAGTCACAAGAAACCAAAAAAAAAAAAATTTAGATGGTAAAACTCAATTTGGTAAAACTCGATTTTGTTACTACTTACCATTATATAATCTCACAATTGGAACAAACGCTATGTTGTGTTATAGAATGGAGTGTTTTATCAGGTCCATTAGCTATTGTTTTTGAGAAATGATCTGGTTTACTCAATTTCTCAAAAACAACAAAAAAAATTTACAGAATTTTGACTTCTAATTCCGTTGAACGAATAGTGTTCTTGTAAATTGTGGTCAATAATCATTGAATCCTCCTCTTGCTTAAAATAAATTATATATTGGCAGGAGTGGGGGTAGATTTCTTTTTGTTTTAGGCACTCTTTGTTTCCTTAAATCTCTCTTCGTAGGTGCTTATTTTTTTGTCTCCTACACTACACTAATGTATACTGGCTTTATAGATTTTGTATATAACAATTATTTAGTAGCACTGGTTTTTATGTGACTTCAAAGCGTAAGTAAAGTACAGGGCAGCAGATCATAAAAAAAATAATATCATCAGCAAAATGCCAATATGCGCCCAAATTTGAGTGGTACATGAAAACTATAACCAAATTTATTTTGGTAGATGGTATGGTACAGGAATTAGTTTTGAGTTCAGCTTACGATATAGCTCTATAAATAATTAGTTCATATAGAATTCTAATTAAACCATATTTACTCCATCTATTATTTCCACCAAAACAAAAATGAATCCATTAACATACTTGCAAGGTTTTGGCACAGTCCAAAAAGATCTGACCATCCGATTTCGTACAACCAAGATTGCATTATCAGTTAATCACATACAATGAAACAGCAGTGGGCAATATTATTAAAATTCAGATCTTTCACAAATCAACCGTTAAAATATAATTTCCATCACTGAATATCATAAATTTTGAAACAAAAAGCTCTAAAATTGTCATTTCGCTTAAGTGAAATACTTATGATCGTCATCTTGATCAAACCACCAACTAAAAATATCCCCAACTTCGTTTCCCCTGGATTATACTAAATCAAACCATGAACTTAGGTAAACCAAATATCATATTAATTCGAGTCTAATTTATCACTCTAGTTTTCTTATTAGAATGAAAATCAACTTTTGTACAATGTAAGTCTGACTATTGTTCTAGTTCTCTGCTTCTATTAATCTACAAAATACCCTAACTTTTAATAAAACGCTTAAAAACAGCAAATACTTCTCTGTTAGTGTCATGTTATTTTTGTTTTTAAATAAAAATATTTAATAAAAAAACCCAACAAAGGGGATCATCGGCCATGGATCTTACAGAGAGTAATGGGACAAAATTAAGCAAAAACTTGATCTGCAAAGCTAAAATTAGTGTCATGTTCTATATACGTATATTGTTATTTGACAAATTAAATATATTTAGAGACTATGAGGTATATTTAATGTAAAGTGGAAAAGCAATCTAAGCATAAATCTATTTTGTTAAAAAAAAAGTAGTAAACAAAAAGCTCTTGTATAGTTTTTGTTTTTTTTTTCTGAGAAAGAAAAAGCTCTTGCATAGTTCAAGGGTAAATGAACCTCGTACCGAGAAACCCACCACAAGCTTATCGACAACATAAAGAAAATAGAAGTTCAGAAATAGAAAAACAATATAGCGACAACTTCGAGGAGATATCCCAAATCTTGCTGTCTAACTTTACAGTTTTTTAATCAAATAATCAATAATTATTCACGACTTTTTTTTTCAGAAAGAAATTGCCTTTCCAATTATTCACAACTTATTACCCTTTGATTTGACTCTTACTTGATAGATTGCAAAGAGAGTATTCAAACTTCATTATGAGCGTGTTGATATTTTATAGGTTAGTCCGATCTTTAGGTTATAGGCATTGGAGTGATTTTGATTATGCGTTGGGAGAGCATATCCATTGATTGAGATACCATAAGGGTATTTCACCAAATATAAAAATAATATTTCTAATATAATTTAATTAAAAAACTAAAATTTAAATTAAAAATAAGATTGAACCAATCATATGTTGATATTTGTTGTTTCAGCCTCTCAACTTTTTTTCATAGTCTCTAAAATGAGATAGTTATTTGTTTCTTTTTCTTACTTTATACAACTTTTGTTAATTTTTAGTATTAGATACCCATTGAGAGACTTCCAATAGAGGTGCTTAACAACTTTAACTGTGCCTATTTTGTGGTTAAATTTAAAGATATAGCATGCAAACACAAGTGTAAATGCAAGAAGCAAATTAACAATCAAGATCTTAAACTTAACTCGGTGTGTAGAAAGATAGAATTAGTCAATTAGGGCTTTTACATGTTTAAGAACCATTTTCAATTTTACCGTTTTAGAAAATTTGATAATTAAATTACTTTTTGGAAAGCAATACATAAATATGATACTTTCAAGTTTTTTTTTCTCCCTCTATTACCTATTGGATTCAGGTTGGACCCCATAAATTTTGCCCAAAAAGAGGCTAAGTGACTTAGCACATAGCCTGATAGACATGAGTCAAGGGCCCAATAGAGAACTGATACAAAACCCAATAGAGATTATAGAGTATATTGATGCAATTGCAAGAGAGAGAGAGATAAGAAAAGTCTAGCAGTTTCGTTGCATACGAAGGTGCAACGATTTGGTATAGAAAAACTAACTTTGTGGATAATGTAATCATTTTATTCGTAGACAAAACAAGTAGTGTGGCGACAACGAAAGGGGCCATTTTTCGTTAGATAAAGCTTCATCAACGACAGTGATTTGACGACAACAAACAGAGTTTATTTCAGATAAAAAAAAACACACAGAATTTAATTTGATTTTGGTAGCAATGGATCATAATTTCAGGTAGATATGCATGTTTTATAATATATTACATTTTGCACACAAAGAAGAAATAATATAGGGGTTTTTTATTTACTCCCCAAATTATGTCCTATGAAATCTTTTTTTTTTTGTAATTTTATCGTGGAATGGTTTTTTTATATTGTATAACAAAGAAGTTTCAGACGACAAAAAAAAAAACCAAGATTCAAACTTTCGACTAATCTTTCTAGGTTTCGGACCAACATTTGAAAATACTATTTTGGAGTGTAAATCATCCCTCTTCAGCAATGTTTGAACTTAATTGGGAGCCAAGAAACCAGACCACATGCTGCCCTTAACCAAAATGATTTCTTATTGAAAATCATTTACCAAACAGATTTCATTTTGCAGGGAAAGACAATGAATATGTGTCCTCTAACCAACTCATGATTACTGTATTTAATCTAAAGTAAATTAAATAAAAGTTTCACAAAAGAAATTAGGACAATCCAGCAATGCGTATACTAATACCTCCATGTCAGCCTTTAGTCTGCAAACCCATAATTTTACATATTTTTTAAAAAATATCGACCAGTAGCGAAAGTAATAATATTGGTTGAAGATTTTTAAAACTATATAAGAAAAACTTTGACTACTTTGTTTTCTCTTGATATGAAGGGCCTTGGTGGGGTTGTACATTTTAATTTAGGTTAGATGAAGATTAGTTACGGTTAAATGGTTCTGACCAGAACCATTTAATGGGTTGTACGATAATTAAAGGGAAAAAGTTGATTAATTTAAGAGTATGGGTTAGAGTTTGGGATCCACCGTCCTTACTAGTTTTATGGTACCGTATATTACCAATTCATCTCAAAATACTTACGAGAAATGTTAAAACTGTGAAGACGATTATAAACTTCTGAAATAATTCCAAAATCTGATTCAAGAACTTTTTTCATAAACAAACAAAAATTTCGTTATATAAGAATTCTGCATAAAAGATCCGAATCAAACCAAAATATTGCTATACGTCTAAGAGCATTTATCCCCAACAAATGTATCTCATATAATCTCTCAAACAGTAATAAATTATTATACAAATCTATACAAATAATTGTAAAATATTATGTGAACCTCTTAGAAATTGAGAAAGTCACAAGAGTTTCGTATATAAGAGATTTTTGTGTGAGTTTTTCAACCTTTTGTTGGATCCATATAATAGTTTGTT